TCTGATTACACAGGAGCTCAGCCAAACGGTGCAAAGGTCCAGGAAGCACATTCGCCCTCGTCAAATATAAAAGCTCCCCAAATTCAATTATCGTCGCCCCGCGGCCACCCACCTGTTTTATCCATCTATCTGTCTCAACTCCTCCACTGTTCTCCTCCATTAAACTCCTTTGCCCACATCTTCTTTACTGCTTGCACCCCCTCCTGCAGCCCATCACTTCGCTCCTTCTCTCCCGCTTCCCGCTCAGATTGGCTCGGCAGTGGAGTGGAAACACCCGAGATAAAACACAACAAGTAATGAGTCTGCTGCAGGGAACAAACACATGAATATTTTGTGGGAACAATGCAGGAGTGCGTGTCTGGCATCATTTACTGGAGCTAAACCCAACACAAATCCTGAGGGATGCGGTAACGGCACCCAGAGGGTTTAGGTGAGCCAACGCTGGACCTTTATGACAAATAAAAGTTCACCTTTTTCATTTAACAAATGCAGTTCTGGCTTTTTGAAATAAAGGTCGTCACCCAGCCTTTTTTCCAAACAGTTGCCTTTTCCATTACATTTTTGTGCACATAAAAGTCCATAAAAGGATCGCTGGGTAGGATGGAGTGACCTCGAACAGTGAGGTTGCAGATTCTAACCGGCGTCCTCATCAACCCTCATTCCCAGAGCATCCAACACTGCCGTCTGAGAAATAGTCACGAGATGTTCTTTGGCATCTGTCCCGCACTAACATTCAATGCCAATGGATTTATAGGGGAGTGTTTCTACTTTCAAAGAGCCTCATCAACATTTTGAGTCTTTTGTTGGACCATTTTGTTTTCAGTTTTATGTCTATAGCGCTGTTACGGCCCCTGGTGACAGTGTGCCGTCTTGTTTATGTGGTGGACTTTTGTGACCTTTGTCAGTGAAGATTCTCAGTCATCCAAGTCATGGTTGTTCTGGTAATTTAATCATAGCAACTGGACTTGCTTGAGTTCCTTGGAGACGTTTCACCTCTCATCCAAGAGGCTTCATCAGTTCTGACTGACTAGTTGGGAGTTCCAGATATTTATATCCTAAAGGAGCCATTAACACCTGAGGTTCGGTTTCAACTGGAGGTTTGTTGCTCCTCCTCATCGTTATGAGGGTCGTTAGTGCTCCCCTGCCATGAACCCCTTTGTGGTCAGTCAGAACTGATGAAGCCTTTTGGATGAGAGGTCACGGAACTCAAGCAAGTCCAGTTGCTACGATTATTCTACCAGAATTTTGTGACCATTGTGTTGTGACTGTGCTCCAGATCCCACCTGGCAGATATCAGGGATGATCGCGCTGGAGCTCCAGACCTGCTCCCAGCCTTTGTTCTCCCCGCCTCCCGTCACATCCGATTGGTCCACTACCCAGATCCCGCCTCCAAAACCTCAGCAATCACCACACCTGGAATATAAAGCCTCAACCAAACTCTCAGTCAGGGCAGCTAGAATTTAGAGTGAACAGGTCGTGCTGGTGCCTCATGGAAGTTACCCATGTGTTGGTAAACACTGTAGATTCAGTTAGCAGCTGTCCGACTAAGTTTAGGAGTTACTCGTGGTTTTTTCTTTTTTTTTTTTTTTTTGTAAGGTGGTTTTTGAGGCACTGGTTAGTTTCTTTTGCTAGGTGTGGGTGTTGCTATTGTGTTTAAGTTTCACTATGGAGTTTAGTTTTTTTTAGTTTAGCTACTTTTTTTAAACTCGCCTCTGTTTGGTTTTATTTGGTTCTTTGATTTAGCGACATCCACCAGTCCTGTTTTCTTTGTCAACACTGTTTTTTAAAATTACGTCACTGAGCAATACATTGCTTTACCTCCATCAAGTCCACCTGGTTTTTGTCGCATCCAGCTGACCGTAGCGGCTGGATCATAACAACCACCAGTTCACAACATATGTCGTCCTCTACAAACACAAAGTTCCCTTTGGATGTTGTTTGAGAAAGCACTTGGCGACTGTGGGAAGGAACCAGAAAACCGCTACTGGACTGGGAAGGACAAAAAAAGAGCTTCAAACAGAACCTGGGAGGGCAGTCATCTGCCTCGACTGGTTGGGAAAGATTTAAATCTCATTTTTGGAACTAAGACTACTAAAGATCATGATATGGATTTTTTTTTTAAAAAAGCCCTTTTCACTACCTGGAAGTAACAACTGAGATAAAACCAGCAGGCATTTGGCTCCTGCCGTCTACTTCTGACATTCATGGCTTTTCATAAGTCTATCAGACTACACTGCACGTTGATTATGACCCAGTGTGTTTAAATGTGACACCAAGAGGCCAACCAAAGAGGCAGCATGTGACAAACTGGATAAGCAGAGAACCTACAGTGGCTACTACAACATAAAAACGCATCCAGTGTTTGGTTTGCTCATTCCTGGCTACTGTAGAAACATGAAGGAGAATCTGCGTAGGAATGTAAGGCTCATGCTAAGCTAATGAAAACACAATAATTCAAAATGAGAGGAAGCTACACACTAATGAGAACAGAATTACACATACGATATTCCAGTTCTGCACATAGATCCCCCTCAATCCTTCAAAGGCATGCAATCTTCTACAAACTGTACCTCAGTAGTGGAATCATAGTATTAAATATGACATATTACAGCATGACACGGCAGAAAAATACCTCCAATAATCACACTTTTTGCAACCGCGGGGAGCACCACTCTTTTCCAATTGTGCTGCATTACAGCCGAGACCTCCAGGCAGCGTGCCAGCCAACGAAACTGCCTCCCCACCCTCGCTGGGAAACTTCATTAAAGCAGGGAGCTTGTGTGTATGTGTGTGTTTTTACAGACAGCATCACAAAAAAAGTTTTTTTTTTTACCACTTTGAAAATAAGAGATCAGTTTAGATTAGAAGGTTCAGGTTTAAAGTTCAGGCGGCGGCGGTGAGCGATGGAGTAAAGTTGAGGATAAAGGTGAGGATTTAAAGTGGAAGTGTTGGTGGGAATGAAAGCGAGAGCAGGAGGTTTATGATTGCTGTGCTCCAAGAGGGCATCTTCTAATACGAGCACCAGCTGCTGCAGTTATCTTGCCGTCCCTCCTTGCTCTATAAAACCGATTATCACCCCTGTCAGAATTATATACATAGAGATATATATATAACACCCTCTTCCTGTCACTGAGGTCAAACTGTGGCACCATAATTTCCCCCAAATCAATTCCAAGGCCAGCAGGTTACAGGAGGCCCGTAAAGAGGAAACTTCGGTCTCACCGGTGATTCAAGTCAGCGTCTCATTTCCTCCCATCTCGGTCTCTGCAATCTCCTTCCAGCTCTCTTCAACCCTCTCCTCCTTCCATCTCTAGCTCTCATTTTCTCGTGCTCTCCTTCAGAGCCGACTCCATTACGCCCACGCCGTCTTTAAAATCTCGAAAGCTCATTCTCTGGCGGAGGTAGACAGGACTACGATTTGACTTGAGTGGTCATTCACACATAAAGCTGACATGTGAACCGACACGCACATTTGTTCAGAGGCGTTTGTTCCACTTGTTGTTTTTTCTGTTATCGGTGAAGGTCTGGAGGTTCTGGGCATGAAGGACGTCCTCTCAGACGTACAGGTGTTACAAAGACGGAGCTCTCTGCCGTCATTAATGCTCTGAAAACGAATGAACTCACAAGAGATAAATAAAGGATGCGATTCTTTCTGCTGTTATTTTAAACTGAGGAGTGCCACCTTTCTTCCGACTCTGTTTGGAGCAAAGATCTACGAATACAAACCAAAAATTCGACCTCATAACCCAAATTTCAGGTTGTTCGAATGCAACATTTTCGTGGCGGTCCATCTAGAAGTTGACATTCCACTCCAAACCAGAAATGTAGACGTCTAGGTGGTGCTAGAAGAAAGTTTGGAGAATCTCATCCAGATTGATTGTTTCTGCTTTCCTGGATCTTACACCCGCAAATTGGATCCGCGGTACTTCGAGCCACACAGTTTGTACCAATACATGTCACCTCTCTTTTGGCAGAATCGTTCGTCCTTTTGTAAAGTAAATATATATTCAGTTACCCCCAAAAGGGACATGAAGGTGCAATAAAAGCTTCTGTGAGCAATTCTGCTGTCATCAGCGACTCTTTGGCACATGGAAGGTGAGTTAGAGGCTTTCTATGACGGCCTAATTGGCACTAACTGCTACACTTGTGGGTTTCCAGACAGGCTGTAAATTTCTCTCATGGTCTGTCCTTGTAACCTCAGTGGAAATTTGTTAAATAAAATAAAAATCAATGTTGGCGCAGTTTTTAATTACTTCAGGGAATCTACAGGGAATGAGGTAATGTGTTTAAAAATAAAACCCCAGCGAGTGTTTTGCTTTTTCCTGCTCATGTCTCTGAAGGCTAAAATTAGGAAACATGGTCATCACGGGGCTGCAAGGTGGCGCAGTTGGTAGCACTGTTGCCTCGCAGGAGGAAGGTTGCCGGTTTGCGTACCGGTTCTCCAAGTTCTCCCCGTGCAGCGTGGGTTCTCTCCGGGTTCTCCAGCTTCCTCCCATAAGGTCCAAAAACACATTGAGGTTAATTGGTGATTCTAAATTGTCCGTAGGTGTGAATGTGAGTGTGCTTGATTGTCTGTCTCTAAATGTAGCCCTGTGATAGACTGGTGACCTGTCCAGGGTGTCTCTTGCCTTCACCCTGAGTCAGCTGGGATAGACTCCAGCCCCCCACGACCCTAGTGAGGATAAAGCGGTGTATAGATGATGGATGGATGGATGGATGGTCATCATGAGGTCTTGAAACCTGCTTCCCAAAACCAACTCCAGGGAGAACAGCAGATAATAATAACACAGTGATGGAAATGAGAGGAGGGGGATCCAGGAATATTCAGTTTTCACTTTCGTTTTACTTGTAAATGCTTTGTCCAAATCCGTAAAGAGAAAATGTGAATTGTCCTCCTGTTGGTCTGTATTTGTCTTTTTTTATCTTCACACATTCCTCCTCATTACACTCAAGTGAAAGTGATTAAATACTGACAAGAAAAACCAGAACGACAACTCAGATGATTTTTCGTGACTCTTTATATACAAAAACACTATACACAGTTTGTACGTAACAGTAGCTGTTCTGGAGATATAATGTGTAACATCGTCGTATAACTTGATGAATTGTTTATGTCAAACATACAGTAAAACATGTTTGGAGCTCATGTGGAGGAAAAAAAGAAAAAAAAGAATCCAGTTCTGGGTCTTTGCTGCTTCGAGCACTAAATGAATCCGTTTCTCTGACCGCTACTACACTTAAAGGATTTATAGCGCGACACAATCTGCAGCAAATTACGGCAAAATTTTACACCATCGAGGGAAAGATTCAAGACGAAGGCAGCAGCAGCATCAGTCTGACGGTAGGGGCTGTTTTTACTCTGTGGAGTGATTAAGGAAGCCTCGAGCACCATTACAACAGCAGACCTTCTCCAATGTAAACAGTTTTATTACCTGGTTTGTGAATTCTTCCTAACGGGGCATGTTTTAAACTGGAATCTTAAGAGAAATACTTTTTGAAATTCAGTCTACATACTCGATACTCTCCATATGAACAATGATGCTGAGAGATGCGGGGCAGGTTTAAAGCTTCTTTGGGTCTTCCTGTCTACAGATTAAGTGTTTGGTTTCCCACACAGATGAGATGAACCAGACTGCAGCCATTTGTTTTACAGGACTTGCTCTACGTGATTAGTACTGACTGGTTAAGACTAAACACCGACATACCTGGTTTGACGACAGCGCTGAGTTATGCGTCAGTGCCTTCAAAATAAGTGTTGTCATAAACCAGAGCAGGACTGTAGCTGCAGAAAGTCGCCCATGTTTATAGCTTCTCATTAGGTAAAACTGTATTTCAGCCTCTCTATTTAGCACTGACAGGCAGAATATAAACACTTTATAAATGGTGGATAACAATATAATGTAGTTAGAAGCAAATGTAAAGACATTTTAAGTGTTCCTTAATCTACTTTGTCACCAAATAGAACTCCTCCTTCGAAGCATCCATATTAAAGGTTTTATTCACAAGCAGGTTTTCAGATTTCCTCTGGTGATACTTAAGCTTTTTACCATGTTAATATGTCCTTATGGCATTTATTTATTTATTTATGTTGGAAGGAAAACATCCCATCAACTAGCAGGTTGGGGTTTTCTATATCATTGTGTTTTATTCAGGATTGGTAGATTCAAGTATTCAAGTATTCTAACTTCCTATTGTGTCATCTAGAGGTGTTTGAGCAGAGTCTTGGTGGAGCTGGTGTGCTCAAGCTGCAAGAAAAATGGACTTAACAGATTCACGCTTTCTGAGAAAAGCTTAAAGATATTTCTAAGTCATTTGAAGGCAGGAAAGGAATATCATCATGGTAAAAACACAAAATAAACCATTTTGATAGATGGACGTGACCTTCTAGGAGTTAAATCAACAAAACAAAAAAAGAAAATTATTCTACCGTTGTTGATGCTTCATTTAGGAGTTAAAGCTGTTGAATACATTTAGAACACTTCAAATCTCTTTATATCTGCTTGTGTGCTTTGCTAACTACATAACCATTTATCAACTGACTATAAACTGCTTTGAAATACTAAACGGTGTATTTGGTGTTTTACCATTTAGGCTTTTGCCCGCTTAGAAAATGATGCTCGCACTTTAATCACCCGTTACACAACCAAAGCTGTACCGACAGCTAAGGCTTTTAATTTGTGTACATTAATTAAAAACAAGCTTTTTGCTGATGCAGCTGGATTTTATATCCAAATAACTGCTCGAAAGTGGGCATATTTAAATAGAACGCAATTAAGTCAGGGTTTGAAGTTGTTATTTCTAGTTTGTGTCGGTTTAACTATGGACACCTGAAGACATAATTCTAACCGTGAGGTCCAGATAGGATTATAAATAGCTTTTTACCAGAATACAGAGTTACCGCTACCTATATGATGTCTTGTCTGTGGTCTGCTGAGGAAACAGGGAGGTTTAGTGGAGACTGTGCTTCACACGCTGCCCAGAAACAACAGCGAGACGTGAGCTGCGCTGCTTATTTCTTTATCTGGGGATGATGAACGAAACTAAAGTACAAAATAAAAGACAATTACAGTTAGAGCTTAAAACATTCACATCAAAGTTGTATTGTATCATATTGGTAGTAAAACTGATTTCAATGTATGCACATGCTTGATATACATTCTGTACAAAATAATCAATATATAACAACATCGACATGAATGAATACTGTTGGTTCTTTTCCGTCGCTGTACATCACTTTGTTTCACAGCCCCCTCACATTCAGCAGCAGAAACGCTAAATCTGCCCTTTTCAGTTACTATTTGTAAGAATGACGAGTGTTGTGGAGGTTTGGGGCTCAATTATGAGAACACAGGCTTCTGGAGGTCAGCGAGCTCGATCTGTCAATCACTCATCAACCGACGTCTCCTCTCCAGGCGAAGTGGGCCGGGGACTAAAGATTACTAAAGTTCAGCCAAACAATCTGTCTTTCACGCAGACGCAAAGCGTTTCTAACTGATCCTTTTTACACTTTGCATTAACATGCATCTCGTCTGTTAGGATTTTACCTTGACAAGCACTTAGAGGCACAAAATATATGAATCCGCCGAAAACGAAGCGTAACCCAAACCACCCCAAACTAATTAGAAATGTATAAACACAAATAAAATAAATCTCATCTGCACGTTTAACCCTCTGAAAGCCCAAACCCGCCGGCAGGTTTGAAAGAAATATTGCTGTTTTTTAAAAAATTACAGCATTTATCGCAGCATTAAACAGTAAAAACAAGCGTGAAGAAAATAAGTTAAATTTTGAACTGATGATTTGTGATGTTGCTGTTCTGTCGGAAAAAATAACCAAATCTAAGCTTTTAACTGTGATGTTTCATTAAATGACTTTAATCTACACAAGAATTTAATTTTTAAAAAAAATAAAAATCTCTACTAGATTCTGTCAAAAACACAGAATTCTGCACAATCGAGAAGCCGTTAGCAGCTCACTGAGACCAAGAATTTTCATCTAAACTGGGCTGAAAGGCGGGCTGTGCTTAGACAGGAGGAAGGATGGAAAATAAATAAAAATATAAGTATTAAAATATCTAGAATATGTAGAGTCACAGGTGTTGGTAACCCCTGTGGGCGTTTGGAAAAATTCCATCCAGATTTTTCTATCATTGTTTTTCTTATGATTTGTGGCGACATAACTGTCATACTGCACTAAAGACTTTTTTAATTCTTTCTACTCTTAGACATGGTTGAGTTGTTTCCATAGAGGTACAGGTCTTTACATTGCAGTGAAAAATGAGCCCACAGTGAGTAACGAAAAGCGTGACATGAGCAAAAAAAACGCCCAGAAACTGCTTTGGGCTTCAGAAGGTTAAAAGGAAATCTTCAGTTCAGGCTTCTGAAAGTCTGAACATCTTTCTAAGATTTAACAAAATACATATTTAATCTGTTGATTCAAAACAGTTGCAGATAAATTTTCTGTCCGTCTGTAACTCAAAAAGTTAAAGAACTGCTTTAGATTCTCACGTTCATGGTAAAATGTTTCTGGACCTGGTTGTTAAAAACAGAGCGATGCTGCCTGATTCAAGGTGCATGTTAGGGCAAGGTGTAAAAGTGGGTCCTCTCAGGAAGCCTCTTCTTACGTAACCGTCACAGACTAAAAGATTCAAGCACTCCGGTCAACATTTGTTGTTTTTAAATGTGCTCTATAAATGCACTGCCTTCACTAAATTGCAAAAGCATGTTCAAGGAAACGGAAAATAAAGCACTTTCTCCACTTCTTCGAGAGTCGATTGCTTCGGTGGTTAAACTTTCCCCGCCCGTTCTCTCTCCATAAAACCTTTATAAAAAAAATCTAAAAAAATCAAACTGTAAGCTTTCAGTTAAGAATGTACAATCAAATTCCTGCTCTGTCTTTGGCACCAAGTCACTCTGTGTGAAGAGCCCCAGCCAAAAGCCTGAAATGAAAAACTGTAGTTTAAAAAACATAAACGTAGATCCTCTAAAGAGCAAGTCAAGCACTTTGTGAACTCAACACAGGATATACGACGGCGCGCCATCGCCATGTATCATCAGGAAGTGTGCTGAGGGGATAGGATTGGCCAGAATAGGGCTGATTTCCATTGCACTTGACGACTAAAGCCTCAGGTGCCCGTCGCTCCCTCAGCAGTTATAAATATAACACTTGAAGGTAATCTCCATACACATCATGTCCCCTTCCATAAACTCTTGTGATATAATGCCCTCTAGTGGCAATATACGTTAAGCATGTCTAAAAAATGAACTGCAGTATTTCCGATTCGACTCCGAGAGGCACATCGGAGCAGAACAAACCGCCTCTCCTCCCCTCTGAGCGATGACATAGGCGCTGACATCGGCATGAGAGCGTCCAATCAACCCCACTTCCTGTTCTGGGAGGATGCCCATGTATGGCCATTTGTCAGTTTCCGACAAGGCATATCTTGGCAAGTACACAAACTCTGAAGTACACTTGAGCCACATTCACTATGACAGGGGTAATTTTTTGCCTCCCTGCGACCTCTCATTAGGCCTGAAGTGAACCGAAAAACAAAGAAACAAACTAAAAAAAAAAAACAACCCACCGTAAACCAGCTGGTTCTGATACTCTACAATAAATAAATGTTTCTGATCAGAGCACTATACACACCACTGTTCTGACTATAGATATGTGCAAATGTTTCACTGGTGCCTCCGGCTGGCCGAGGCCTTAAGACACACCTGTAGCTGTCATTATAGACGTAAATACATATCATCGGGGGCGACAGACCTTTTTCACAGGAGACATTTTGAAACATGCCACCTAACTACGACAGCGAGCCTCTGACACTGGCCATGTTTGACGTTATCAGTCACACCCGTGTCGTTTCTGCCACCACGAGCCAAACTGTCTGCTGTGAAAAAGGCTGATTCCAAAGCAAAGTGGACTGAGCTGTGGACCGGGGTTCTGCAGTGCCAGGACGCTGCTGGGAGCTGTGGACCGGAGAGCTCGTGGTGCTGACGACCAGGTGGCAGTGAGAGCAGTTTAGGGCCGATGGAATCTGAAAAGACAAAACACACAGGCTTAGTTCACGAGTATACTGGACCAAGTGCACATTACTGTCATTGTGGGTTAATCTGTCGGTAATTTTCCAGAATAATAGTTTTCGAGTCTATAAAGTGGCAGAAAATTATGAAAAATGCTGCTGTGTGTTTCCAAATGTCCAGTTTTGTGCACAACTCAAAGATATTAGGCAGAAATAACTCAAACCGATGAACTGATGATGAAAATAGTTGAGGATTAATCAATCAGCAACTCTATACACAACATAACAAGCTATATACAGATCAGTTAAAATCATATTTTAGTTCTAGAAAGTGGATTTCATACAGCCACACACTATCTTCCTGTCATGGCAGACCACACACACGAGAGCTGCCTTTTGTTTTTTTTGTTAAACTCAACAAAAAAAGAAGAAGATGAATGAATGACTGAAGTCACAATGAATGAGCATAACAGACCATTCCCTCTACTTCTTCAGTGGAGGGTGTTTTTTAAATGTTTCGTCGATTCGACCAATTACACGGCCTGCTGTCCTTTCAGCGGACCGCCGCAGACTGTTATTTTCACAAAATGTACTGAACTGTGCTGAACATTTAATCACGACGACCGAAAAGTCTGACATTTGGTTTGAGGCATCATTTTAGATATAAAAGAATGGAAAAACACTGGATTATGGTACGAGGCAATTGCTTTATAGTATTATTATCTTTCTACGGGATTGAGGCAGCCAGTCGTGGATAAATAAATCTATTTGATGACATATTATAGTTTCAGGGGTTGCATTCAGGTGCTTAATAAAGTAGACTATATATATATATATGGTCAAATTAGAATCTGAACTCTGTTTTGTTTATTTGCTGTTGTGACAATTTGATCTAACATGGAGCTTCATCAGACAAAAACACTCAAAGTTCACATTGAGCTTCATCCAATAGCGCTGCTGAGTGTTTTCACAGCTGATCTGAATGTTGTATCAACAGATAAAGGTCCTGTCAGCTCCATAAGTACTCCATAAGAGTACAAAATAGATTTACATTAGTCTAAAATTACACCCGCAAGCTAAATTAGGGGCACCTGAGGGCAAAATACGACTTTCCAACTCCTACTGGACAGCTGCTCAGGTGCTCTTTTCTCCAAATGCTTTTTCCTTTTTTGGCGATTGAGCTCGATTTGAACTTGAGCCGTCCACTTTGTTCTTATCCAGACATCGATGCCTGCGATGAGGCTGCAGGTTAAGTTTCCTCCTGATGACTTTTCCATGTTTGTGCACAGCGAAGAGGCTGCTTCGCCTTTCTTCCAGCAGACGTGCAGTTTTATATGAAAGTTTTCTTGCTTTCTTAAACCTCATCTCGACTCATGCAGTTCCCCTTAAGTGCAATTTCTTAATGACATTTCAGATAATGGAAATTACAAGCTGGAAGCACTTTAATATCTTTTTATAGCCTTCCTCTGCTCCGTAGTCATTCATTACCCACATTTTCAGAACTTCAATCAGTGGTTTTTGAGCTTATGGACCTGCTTTAGAAGTCGAGTAAACAAAGTTAACAAAGTTCAGAGGCTTTACAAGAAGGAGGGCGGCCAAACTTTTTCACAATCTTTGTTTTTTGTGACATAAAAGGTAACAAGAAGTTGTTTAATATCTCGTTGCTGCAGGGGCTGCATGTACTTCAACAAATGTTAAGAAATTTCTACCAAACCGTTGTGTAGCCATTTCAGATATGACATTTTTTTTTAAACTGAGCTGTTTCTTGTTGAGTCTGCACTCTGCACAGTGATATAAACCCTCGTCACACAGATCTAATAACGTATGAGAGCGAACCTCGACTTTATTGGCAATCAGTGCCTGAGGCTAATGAACTGGAGCTGACCCAGGTGTACATCATGACTTTAATGTGGATGTTGGAAATGGCTTTGGGGGACCAGAATAATATAATATTGATCACTGTGCGCTAATAAACAGCAGGATTTACTCTGATAAATTACTAATGAAGCCTGTGAGTCGGGTTAAATGGTGAAGGCCATCGACCGCTTGAGTACCTGGTGAACTGTTTGCTGTCTTCATGAACCTCCATCTCTCGGCTCTTGAACTCGTTCAGCTCCTTACGGATAGCAGCCTGGAAGAACAGAACACACAATGATTAGAGCATACCTCTGACATCTTTTTGCGTACTGTGTTGTTCCTCCACAGACACACAACATCAGCTAAAACTCGTTTTTTTCTGCGTCCTGGTGACCCCGCCGAGTCGGCCGACTTCCGACACAAGTCTGAAAGTGCTACGGGCTTTTTCCACTGTGAGATCTGAAGGTGCTGGAGGGGCTCTCATTTGGAGTTTTTCATCTGTTTAGGTATAATTGTGATAAATCTGCGCTGCTGCAGATTTTGCTTCAGGGAACTATCCATAATGTAAAATGCACAGTTTAAAAATTAGTAGCGAAGGTACACAGCGGCACAAATGTGTTCTTTTGGGGCATGATTATGTCTGTTATTATCAAAGAACATAAATAATAAACTATAGATGAAAAATTAGTGAGGCCTGAAGCCTGTGAGGGTTTACAATTTAGGGGAGTAAGAGAAGCAGAAAGAGGACACGAGGAAGCATAACTGAGCCTCATGAAAAGCCCCTTCTCTGACTACAGCTTGTGATTTCTGTGCTGTGTAGTTCTGAATATCAACAGCAGAGGGCAGGCTTGACATAGGAACTGCCCTCCAGCACAGCCTGAGGGTCTTTCTTCCTCTCTACCTTTTTTTTAACACATGAAAGACATTTGTATGGTAGAGCTACTACATGCAGGCACTTATCTTTATGATCTCACTTCATGTGTAGACAAACATCAAACACGCATCAGTCCAGGTATGTTTCTCATGGTTTAGTTTAAACACTGAATTTCAATTAGGAGAACACGACAACTCCCCTGGCACAAAGCAAGGCCTCTAAAGAAATGATTTTCTGGGTTTGGTGTGGAAGAATTCAAAGAGCCTGCACAGAGCCCTGACCCCAATCCCATCCAGCACCTTTGGGATGAACTGGAACACCGACTGGGAGCCAAGCACCATCAGTAATGCTCTTGTGGCTGAATGGGGTCAAATTCCTGCAGCCATGTTCCAAAATCTTTCATAAATCCCTCCAAGGTAAGCAGAGGCTGCTACTGAAGCAGATTATTGTCCATTGTTTTGATATGAAACACAAATCAGTCACAGATGGAGCTACTCTTCAGGTGTCTGTGTGCTGTACTTGGGTGTCCACATACAGTGTGCTTTGGTGTCTGTTGTTCACTTATTGGTTTCCTTAATGACACAAATGCATAGATTATGTAATACTGGCAAGAAGCCGATGCCCTGGAAAAACTAAAAATGAACATTTGTACAACACAGTGCAGTAACAGCAGTACCTTATCAGCTGGAGTTAGCCGTGTCCAGGGTTTGTCCGCCCGCCGATCATAATCCTTGGCGTCCGTTACCTCCACGTACTCATTAAAACGCAGGATCCTCCGAGCGACGAGCTCTGCCACCGTAGGCCTCACGCTCAGCTGCACACAAAGAGAGAGACAAGAGGAATTAGACGATAAAAACTAATGGTCTTTGCGGTGCTTTTCCCCACCTTAGTTTTCAGGTACGTACAAATTTAAATGAAAACATCCAACTTCTACCAGAGAGTCTCAGTTCCAGCTGCGTCCACTAGATGGACTTATCTCTCTGCATAAAGCATCTTTCCTGTCTCCTACCATGACTCACAAGGTGGAGCAAAACATATTAGCAGCTAAATATAGACTCACTGTGTCCTTTCTGTTCCATCTTATGTGCCTGCATGTGGTCGGTGTTTACAGTACCTTTCTGGAGAGCCTCCTTTTAATCTCTTGCTTGGCTTCTTGCTCCTCAGCTTCATTCTTTTCTGCATGTAGAGAACCAACAGAGTTATTTCACACCTACTACGTCTGCAACAATCTTCTATTTATAGCTGCAAAATGTGGTTTTCTGTATTAAAGCGCGTCTATGGCGTCTATTAGTGGTGTGATTTGCCGAAACATGAAAACTAAAGAGGAACCGAATAAATCATCGGAGTTAAATCTTTACAGCCAATATTCTTCACATATAAATGTGTGTAAACAACTCGTGTGTGACTTGGCCCCGCGCACTCGTAAACTCTTTGACCTCCGGTGGACGCATCGGAGATTGAAACATAAGCCGTCTGTGAATCATGGCACCGAAACCAAAGTCCTAACTCTTGTTTCCGTGCACCAGAACAGCCAACATAATAAATGTCAGTTGTCTTGGTTCTCGTGCTGTAAACTTCCGAGCCTTGCTTTATTTCTCCTGTGTTATGAAAAAGCTGAGGAGGCTGTATGTTATTCTGTGAGCCGTGACATTTCTGAGTATCAGCATCTCCGGGTGGACATCACACCCTGAAACCTACTTATTGTAAAACCCGAGTACAAGGCACACAAATCCGAGCCTTTTGACAAGACTGTCTTTTTTTGCAGTAGATAATTATCACACGACACCTAATTACCACCTCAGATGAGTGTCTCTTCGGGGTAAATTGTTGTCATAGAGCTAAACTTCAGAAACAACGTTCGGTGCCACAGTTATTATGGATTTAACACCTTTGTACTCGATGATATGAGTTTATTTTTGATTTTAATTTCCTGTGCTGCACCCACTGGTTATAAACTGGGCTGTTAGCTGTTATTTTCCACTTAGAATAAAACAACAGATATTGCACAACGCGTCAGGAGTGGAGGGGGGAGCAACAGTTTGAATTAGCTCAGTTAGGCCAAGAGCTAAATTATCATTTGAAATCATTCCTAAGTGCCTCTTAAAGTCACAATGAAATACTAATTTGGCATATAAAGCGAGCTTGCGAACCCTCGAGTGGAAAGGTTTATGTCCTGTTTGGTAGCATGACAAACAAGTGTGACTGACTGCTTATGGGGGGGGGGTGGTAATAGCAGAACTAGCATGCAGTTTGTGCTTCTAACTAAGTTACCTGAACTAGTTTGTATCACTGTGGTCTACCGGTACCAAAGAAAGAAGCAAGAAATTTGAGGAAATTCTCGGTGAGCCTTTTACAGTAATCGAGCCCTGAGTGTGACTGAACACATCCCTCCAGCGCGGCGGACGCAACGCCGCTAATACGCATTATTTAGACACACATATCTGTTTCATGCATCTGATTGATGCGACACACGAGGTCATATCTCAGGATCTGAACGTGAAAGCAGTGCACCACCATGGGCAGCTGGAACAACATCAGTTTCCATGTGTCTAGCCGATTCCTCATGATATCATTATAGCGAGAAAATTACATGATTCTAGTTTCCAAGAATTATGATTAAAAACGGTGCATCAGTTCAAGAGTGTTTCTTCAGAAACTTACGCTTGAGGATGTTTCTCTGCTCCAGCTCCTCTGTGGTGGGTCTTTGGCTCAGGCGCCTAAAATGAGGAAATGATTTAAACATTTCACTTCTACAGAGAAACAACATGAATCTTTTTTTTTTTGGTTTGACACCCTTTGTTGTTGATAATCCAAAATCTGTTTACCAGCAGCCTGTCTGCCTCATCAAGGAGAAAAAAGGCCAGCACAGATTTTTTTTACTGTGCATCATTTGTACCAGCACGCCACCCACAGCTACACCGAAAGATAATTAACAGTCTCTGGTGGTACCCCATGCCAGATCTATAATAAAAAGTAACACCTACCTACATTTTCACAGCACGCTTTGTGTGTGTGTGTTGTGGTGAGTAAGTGTGTACCTGACTAGTTTGCAGCCTATCTGGTGGCGTAGCTCGTGTCTCTCTGTCTCGGAGCTTCGTGGCAGAATGTTTTTCTCCTCCAGCTCTCTCTTGCTGGGTCGGTTCCCCAGCTTGATGTTCAGGGTGTCTCGTCGGCGGATCTTCATAGCCAGAGAGCCTAGAGCAGAGACACGACAGGGATGACTGGTAGTGGACCACTTAGGGTCGACCGAGATCAGCTGCAGGCAATAATGAACCAGTGAAATAACTAAATGCAAAATGTCAACACGGCATCTCGCTGATCTTGTACTTTAGTTACAAACATTACTACAAAGTGACTCATGTTGGGTTAAATCCTGTTTGCAGCTCTGGTCAGTTTTATCGCTAACAAGTAAGAGGCGAAATCATCTGTGCTAAAGCTGAGGCATCACTTGATTTCATAACAGCACGACTTTATCCGAGCACGAAAATCACACCAAGCAAATAAAGTCTGCGCTGCAGATAGTTAATAGTCTTGCTGTGAACAATCCTTTCCTTTTATTCTGATCACATTGAGATCCAAAAGTAGTAATAATGCTCTGTGTCCCTGAAACCATTCTGGGATTAAACATGTCTTGTGACATTATTGGAAATTACTGGAAAAGTTTAGTAGTCATTAAAAACAAAATAAAAAATCAGAAATTAACAATACTTAGAATATATGATTATTAATTTTTTTTAAAACAAACAAACAAAAAAACTTTCCATAACTTTTTTTGCTCTAATCTTTATTTAATAGAAATCTGGCCTTGGTATAATTCTGTTTTTATTACTAGAAAACATATCTGCTACGAAAGTTTGAGGCTTCATGAATTCATAAAGATGCTCAACATCTACAGCTACATCTGCCGTGTCAATAAGAAAGTTTTAGAAGGTCTTCTGCTCTATCTTAAAATGTGAATAAATACACAATTAATGTCAAAAGTAGCCTCCACAAACATTGGCCTTTGTTGACAAGTGAGATGCCACCACAGCGATGCTGCTTGTTTACATTCGCTGACGATCCACATCGTCCCACTGCTAATGACGACACATCTGAAGCGTGTTGCCCAATTCTGAAAATCCCCAAACTCTGCAGGGAGATTCCACAACATTCACACATTTGAGGTTTTATTCGCACAACTCTGCGAGGACGTTGTAGAATTCCCCAAAAACTTGAGGATGAATCTTGAACTCCCACAAATCTGCAGGGAGATGATTAGTTCTCAAGAATTTGAAGGGAGATTCTTGAACCCCCAAAAATATGCAGGGAGGTTCTGGAACTACACAAGCTTTACAGAGATCTGGAAACTCTGTAACTCCACAGGGAGATTCTAGAACTCCCAGTAATCTACTGGGAGAGTCTAGAATTTTGCCCCCAAAAAATGAGGGTGAATTGGAAACTCCTGAAAATCTGCAGGGAAGTTCTAGAAAATCTCAAAATTCAGCAGGGAGATTCTTGAACTCCCCGATAATCTGGACTCTAGAAGACTCAAAAACCCAGAGGGGGGAATTCTAGAATGAGACCGTTGGGCCTCGACTACGATGACGTTATCCCCAAAGTAACTCTGGGCGCCTGTTCTTCCTTTTTCAAAGCTGAGTCAACTAAACCCCAAGTGATTCTTAAAAACTCCGGTCAGCCCACATTACACCACAAACTGCAAGTGCACATGACTGTGACTTGCAGGAATGTACAAATTGTGTGAAAGTACAGCAGAGAGTCAATGAACTGCAAAGGCAGAGCTACTGTGCCTTCCATTTTTTTTTAACCAGAGTTTAAAACCATTTACAAAATAGACCAAACAACCTGCACTTCGTCATAGTCACAGTTGAGCTGTGCAGTCATGAGGAGCTTCTCTAAAGGGTTTATACAGCTGTGGTGGTGGCAGAGGGGCTTTTTCCTCCACTGCTGTGTGATGTATTAAAAAAAACAACTAATGCCATACTGTTTGTGTACTCGTCTTCCTCCTCTTCTTCGTCCTCATCCCGGTACAGGATTGGTCCGTCAGAGTCCGAGTCACTAGTTTGGCTGTCTCTCGGCCTATCGGGGATCACCGTCACCTCGGCCTGCTCTGTATTCACACTGAGGCCCTGCGGCTTTTCTGTCTGGCCTTCTGCTGACCTGCAGGAAACAATAACAAGACAGCATGAACACATAGAAGATATTTCGAGATTTGTAAAGCTTTAGCCACCAAAACATATTATTTTATACCATTGCATTATTAATCAAGATTATAGATTTGTCATCAACCAGCTCATTCCTTTCCACTGCTGTAATGCACTCCATGAACCTGGGATACAGAGAAGGAGGAGATAAGGAATCGATAACTTTCATGTCCTAACTAGATTTTTACCTCGGGCTGTTCTCCACGCCGCTCTCCATCTCTCCCCTCTTCTTTCCATCTTCTCCTCCCTCCCCTTCCGTCCTCTCCTGTTTCTCCCCCTGTGAGCTGCTGTCCGTCTGCCGCTCTGTGAAGGATGTGTCCTCGGTAGCGCTGTTGATGTGAGAGGACGCCGCTGTGGTTTCAGGAGACACACCTTTGAGGGTGTCCTCACTCGCAGCAGAAGCATTGGGAGCAGATTTAGGCTCTAGACCAGGTTGAGAAGCAGCCTGAGCTCCCTCCGTCTCACTGCCTGAGGCTTTGGATGAGAGAGGCTTGGTGTCTGAGGAAAGAGGAGAGGATTTGACCTCCCCAGGCTGGCTAGGAGTCTCTGCGGAGGCTTTTTGAGGTACAGAGGAAGAGGTGGGAGTATTTGATTTCCGGTTGGTCTTTGCGTCTGTCCCATTATTCTGTGCTGCAGCGCCGGCGTCCTTAGATGCACGAGAACGGGCCGTGGAGGTGGAGGTTGGGGTGGCTTTTGTTGTGTTTCCCGTCTTCTTTGAGGATTTGGCTGAGGAGAAGTGGGAACAAGCAAATGTGAAAAGTGAAAAACAGAAAATTTGACTTTTCTATCTGTACTTCAGTTTTCTGAAGACATGCAAGATACATAAACAAACACTCATAAGTGTCTAAAGGCAAGAATGTGGACGTATTCCTAAAATTCTGAAATTAAATTTGGGTGAAACTACATGTAGGTTGCATTTAGGTGCTACGTATGTGTTTTAAAATGTAGCGTTTTTGTATTATTAAAAAGCAAAAAAAAATGTTTCTGAGGAAATCTAAGAAACGCTCCGTGATTGGCAACAGCGTGCAGGTTGAGAGAAAAAGTTAACACACTTGCGCTGCAGCTACCAAACTGTGGCCAGACAATGTGTTCTTGGCAGAATCGACGAGTAAGAATCACACAAACATCTAACTGATATTGGCAGGTACGTCGCTGTTCGAGGCGCCACAGCTGTCCGGTTACTGAGCTACCTAGCGTGCAAACTGACGTAAGCGGTGCACTTTTCTGCAGTGAATGCTTGTTTGGTCGCTTGTCCAAAAAGCTAAAGTAGGACACGACTAGTGTTGGTGTTTGTCCGTTAGATAGGAAGGAGCTTGGTTAATGTGGGCTGCTGTTTAAACTCTTGGATCCAGTGGAGCTGCTGTCTGGACGGTAGCCAGTGTTTCCATCTACCTGTGATTGAACACCAGCATTACTGCTCTGACCAAATGGAGTTTCAATCAAGCATTTTGACTGGCTGTGATGAAAAATTAATGCAAAACTAGGAGGTGCCATCATAGTATATAAAATATAAACTTGTTTTACCCCAAGGGGAAAACAGGACACTGGACTGATTACAACAAATATTTCTGCCACAGCAAAAAAAAACTAAACTAACTCATAATTAGTTTTTAATTAATCTTTTGTTTAGGCAGTAAAACGTCAAGAAAATGTAAAGATGAAAGTCGATAGACACCAGCAGTTATCCTATTGATTAATAAAGCAGATATTATGCATTTCACAATTAGTCAAGCCTAAAACAGTAAATGTTCTATTATAACATTAAAATAACCATTTTAAAACAACGACAAATGCAGAACACCTGAGGTAAAACTGACTGAAGCAGCTTTTCAAGTGTCTGTGAAGTGTCTTTGTTTGGTAAAAGTAGCCTGAGGGAAAGTTTGTACTTAAGATGTTCTTCCAGTCACTAATGAAACAACTTTTGTACCACTTCCCTGATAGCGCATCACAAAACACACAGAGGTCTTTAGAAAAGACTGCATGAACATCACATGGGCTTTGTGTTACTTTTCTCAGCCATGCGTTACAATAAACAACAAAACACACAAACAGTGGACCAACCGTCATGCTTTAAAATCATGCAGTGAAAACCACAGAAGCTGTGAGAGCTCATGTTGTAAAGGTCATGCTACACTGACTTTGCATCCACTCGTACGCTCCGTCACACACAAACACACACACACAGAGTTGTACTTGTAGAGGCGTTTCCACAGCTACACAAATACATCTTCACTTCTGCTTTCCCAGAATCATTAATGAAACCCTTCTACAGTTACTCACTTGGCTGGAAATCCCTTTAAATGGGGAAAGGACACTATCAACAGGGAGAAACAGGGAAACACTTCAAATACAAGCGGGTGTGTATATGAAGCTGTGGTTGACAGATACAGACGGCTTATAGTGAGTCCTGTTCTCCTTCAAGCAGTGATACAAGCGTGTTTTCCATGCAGGGAGACAAGCAGGGAAGAACATCGACAGGCCGACTGGCTGCAGTCCCAACTAGCTGAACTTACCAGTACCGCGACTGGTGGTGTTAGTGTTCCGAGGGTTAGCTTTAGCTATTGTGGCTGAGCCAGTCTTGGCTGTGGTTTTAGCTGTCTTTTTAGTCCCCGTGGCACCATCTTTGTGCCTTGCTGTGGCTGCGGAGCCACCGGCGGGTTTGGAGGAGGAGGGCAGAGTGGCACTTGGCTGTTTTTTAGCCTGAGCGTCCCGATGCCGCACCTGAGTTGTCCGGGCGGTTGGTTTAGTATCACATCGCTCTGAGCAGACCAGAGGAGGCGGGAAGGAAAAGGGCAGTATTTAGAAGGTTAAAAGCAAGATGTTCATCTGGACAAACAGACGCACAACTGGACATGCAGACAAGCAGATAGAGACGGACGACATACTGAAAGATAGAGACAGCTGGACGGAGCTGATGATGATAAAAGAGTACGGTGCAGCTTTTCCATAAGATTGATGCACCCATTAACCTTCCCAACCTGCAGTGTGCTGGTATGCGTGTCCTGCTGCTGCTGCTGTATTTGCAGTGTTTGTTGCCTGTGCCTTTCTGAGTATTGACAAATGAAAAACAAATGGCTACAAGTTCAATGCTAACAGGGTTGAGATGAAAACAGCACAACACTTAAGCAGCATCAGACACAAGACCGGCGGCGTGTCTCCTGAGAGAGAGGGAGGCATTAGGAGAAGGAGATACTGCTCTGCTCAGACTGTGAATGCCTACTGCCGGCTGATATAATGGGAATATCTATTTGAACACATTAGACCCCCTCATAGATCCCACAGAGAGTTCAATGTCAACCAAAAAGCTGCTGCTGATAGAAATGCATCCCACAGGCAAGAGGAAGAAGACTTCAAAGCATCTATAAAAAGCTGCAACGTTTAGTTCTAGCGTATAAAACTGCAACCGCTAAAGGGCTGTGAAATTCGCACATTCCTGAGTAACATGACAGGCTTCAGACTGACTTAACACTTTGTTTGGAGGCGAGAAGCTATACGTATCAACAATCTAACATTAAGCGGTTCACTAGCCGGCGACAGTAGTATTTCTCGTACATGCTGATTAGCCCGCGAGTTCTTCCACTGTGAGCAACAGCACGGGTTGTTGCTCTCTCTTTTGTAAATGTGAAAACTGTAATTCACTATAACCCCTGCAGAATTTAGGATCACAACTTTGTGGAAAACTTCTGTTCATGAATAAGCACTGGAGACCATTTACTCCGCCAATCTGATTGAGGGATCGCCTTTGTGGTCGGCTGTATATAACGGTATCGGTGTGGATTCATAACAGCTCCATGTTCCAGGAAAAATGCATAAACTTGCAGCACACTCTATACATGCTTGTTCTAAATATTTTTATGATCATTGATAATAAAACTGGAGAGAAAGAGGCGCTTTGTAAGACGGTTGTCACTTGATGTTTTTCCTGTCTCTATGTAGTTATGACGTCTTTATTCCTTAAGCATCGTCCCAGTCACGTTCAAGAGCCACTGCAAAACTGCTATCCCAGGTCTAAAGTCTCAGCTAGTACAGAAACCCGTAAAGAACTCCTATCAGCAATGGATTACAGGTTAAAGTGTTAGTAAAGTTGAAAAATAGTTGATCCACTAGTTACCTGTCTTGCCCTCTGGGCTGACCGGCCCCGGTTCCTCCGGTGGTGTTTCTGAAGACTCGATGTCGACTTTCACCTCCTCTGACGTAGATGTAGCATGTCCGTTCAAATTTTCACTGCTGATCGGTTCGTCTACGAGAGAAGAAGTTCATACGGTTTTTAGTAAGGTTGTGTTTGTTGATTTTGAACAGGTTTTAAAATGCGTAGTTTCAGAAAAACAAACCATTAAGGAACTAGTTAAGATGCCATATTTAGCAATTCACAAAACCCCCCATCTTGGCTTAGAAGTAAGCTGTAATCACTGCTCCCTCAAAGGTTTTTTGAAAGCTGGACAGCACATTGTTTACCTGTTTATCTGGTTCAAAATCAGCATTAATAACAGACAGTGAAAATAAATTGTTAAATGCAGAAACAAGTGAATTAACCATCGGACAAACCTTGCTCAGGGATGAGAACTCCTTTCCTGATGAGCTCCTCCCTTGTTTGTCTGGTCGAGATTTTTCTCTCTAGAACTGAACGATGAACAAGATCAGGGTCAAGTTTAGGGCTGAACAGTTTGAGGAAAATGTCTAAATGCAATTTTACTCACAGACATTGTGTTGTGATTTAATTTGCAACACATATTTTTAAAAAGTCAAGCCTCACTTTTATATTCCCTTTGTTATTACATGCGTTAAAACAGCGTTACCATTATTATCAAGGAGGACGCCATGACTTATGCGCTGACACAACAGCTTAAAGCCTTCAGTCAGACATGCTGCATAATCCTAAACTAGATTTTCAAATTTTAATTTAGATTTGAAATCAATTATTTGTTCAGTCAAAGTCAGTGAATGATTCAGCGAGTTTCCGTTAACTTTGTCTTTCTTTATTTCATCCTCGAGCTCCAGCAATTAATTTACACAAGAGTCCACGAAACCATTTCACAACAGCTCGGTTCTCCTGCTCATTGCGAAAACGCCGCTGCAATCCCCTCCCTGCACAGCACACAGCAGCAACGCACGTCGAGTCGCACATGAGGAACTGAGCCAATTCTGTCATTGTACTGCAAACAACCTGAAGTTTCTCTCTGGAACCTCTTGAGAACGGGATCATGAGGAATCAATCTGCCTCTTTCACAAAGAGATGTGGACACAGCTGAGGGACAGGACAGGCGTGCACCGAACTAATCGCTCACAGATTAGTTCACTAGTTAACAAAAACTAATCTGCAGCGAATTCATTATTGCCAAAAGGCTGGATACTTCTGATTTCAGCATTCTAAATTTGAGGATTGCTTTTTTATATAAGTGAGCAAACTGAACACCTTTGTGTTTTGGACAGATGGTTAGATTAAATAAAGACTCTGAAACCACCAGCTTGTTATCTGGAAAATAACAATGGTCATTTTTTTGACACTTGCTAGACTGTCAGAGAGGAGCTCTACACAAAAACCTTAGATTGGTTTTTCGATCAGTGCACTCCATAAACACAAACAGGACTGAACAATGGCCAAAATGCTTCAAATGATTTCACTTTTGCTTTCACTTCCAAATCCATGCTTTAAATAGCTTCACAACATGTACGTATCTACATGTCGCCATAACAGTCATCACTAGCCAAAGTGGTGTTCAAATTTAACGCCACAAGCCAATATAGCGAGGGATTATTGGGACTCAACAAGACATCTGGAGTAACACCTGCAGAATACATCAGGGCAAGACAACCAAGAGGGAAAAACAGTGACATGAACTCCACGAGAAAACTCAATGTGCCTGACAAAAGAGGATGTCAACATATTAACTATGAAAATAGAAAGGAGGAAACATTAAACTCTCTCAGAGTTCAGAGGTTCAAGCATCGAGACTCTGATGGCTCCATCTCTAGCTGTCCCTGAACACTGATGTCAAAAACCTTTAACAACAAGAAACCTGGTAAAATAATCACTAAACTTAAAAACTAACTAACAGTCAGTGCTCTGTGATGGTGTCTACTTCCTAATATGTAAATTGTTTAGGACACCAGCCTGAAACCAACCAGACAGACATGGAGATATGAAACTTAGACCTACAGCAAACAACAGATAACGCCTGCCACCCAAGAAAAAAAAAAGAGTGTCTGCTTTTTGTATTTACTTCTGTCACGATTTTTTTTCCAACCCAACACGTCAGGAATCAATCGGTGAGATCTACAAACACGCCGTTCATTCTTTTCCTTTTAAAGCTCCTCCGAGAGCAACGCTGCTCCTGTTCACACCTCGTGTTCCTCACAAATCCAAAAACACAAGCCGTGATGTTGTCCAGACACTTGATTGAGGAGAACAAATCAGAAGCCAGTTATCGACTCGCTCATACGAGTGTGTCATTAACGCGCACACCAACGCACGACACGTCCTACCTTTGGAAAGATCCTGGAACTTGTCGCTGGTCTTCTTCTTCCTCCACTTCCAGGGTTTGAACAGTTTTCCCAGCGATGACAGCTTGCCTCGCTGCTGCCGCGATCCAGGGGCATTCTGGGTGTTGGCGGCGCTGTCCACCACCACGTCACAGCTGGCCAGAGACGATGATTTCTCCAGCCCATCAACTGCAAGAAGACACACATGCACAACTAAATTTACATAACAGAAACAAAAAGCAGATCAGCAAAACACGAGCATGCTCCAGAGTTCGGTAGATACACTGAAGCCACTTTCTAAATGAGCACCATGGGTACATTTCTGTAAAGTTACAGTGGCAATCTTAGTAATCTTCCTTTAACGAGGTAAAACTGCAGGTTGTTGCATTAATGTACAGGCCAACAAGTGACACATTTTGAGCCTTGTGAAGTGATTTGAGTTTTTCCACATTTCAGCAGCAATATTGATCAGAAACATCACAGTGTTAAAGAAAGTTTGAGTGACAATACACAGGTTAATCTAAACAAAAACTAAACTGTACTCCAATGAAGAGAGTCTTGACCAGGTCAGATCTCACATGTAAGATAATACTGTGTGCACACTGCGGCTCATCGTCACTGTCGAGTGTTTTCTATAATGAGGACCCTTAATGCAAAAGAGACCTAATCTGAATGACAGCATGCCTTCACTTTAACACATTGATGAAGCCAGCAATGTTACCCATCCCATGTGGAAAAGGGATGACTTGTACACAAGTAAACAAACAACAAATGTAATCTTGTAACTTCTAACATTGGACATAAATCAGTTCAGGAATACTAAGCTTAACTTCAAGCAACCAAGAACATCTTTTCACTCATTCATACAGCTCATCGCTGACTAGTTTCATTATTATTTCTGTCATTTGGTAAAGTAAAGGCTATGGGTGACGATTACAGAGTTACTCATGATACAGCAGGATGGCAAAATCTTTGCTCCACCACCAAATCATTCAGGCCAAAGTGCATCCATGTTCTGCACACCCACGACTCTTTTTCTTGTGAAATTCTGCAGAGATGTATGTCTTAATGCGGACTTAATTGCAGACTGCTGAAGCTTATAGGGAATCCAAATGTTTTGGATTGTTGGGTGTTTCTGTTTCTGCCTTTGTTAAGCGCTATGAGATGACTTGTTGTTGTAAATATGCGCTATACAAATAAAATTGAATTGAAATTGAATTGAATGCTCCCACAGATCAGTCGGCTAAAATGATATGAGAAGATGAAGACCTCTCTTTGGTTGAAATGCTCAGTGCTTGGACACATGCAATAGTCTGACCGTCTTCCTTTAGGTCGCTGATGCAGGACGCTTAAAATAGGGACACGGCGCTTTTGTTGCATCTTTATTCAATCCTTTTATTTTTCTATTTTTTAACTCTAGTTTTAACATCACTTTACAAACATAAGTCAGGCTACTGACTGTTAACTGCGTATTTCTGTAACCTGCCTGCCTGTAGAGTGGATTTCTTTGAAGATTGTAGCAAAGCTAAAAGCTAAACGCAAATCAGAGTCGCTTTGAAAGACAAGATGCGAAACAGCTAAAACAAAGGCTAGGAAGTACTGTTGTGACTTTTATTGTTGTCGTATATCTGTCCCACTCAACAACTCAGCTTTCATCAGCCGAGGGGTAATATTTCGAACTCTGTACAGTATTTGCAGAGTGTGTGTGTGTGTGTGTGTGTCTTGGCGAGATCCTTGTCCTTCCACAACTCCTCCTCTTCCTGCTGAAAGATTAGAAATGCTGTGAACCTTCTGGAAAACTGCAGACAGTGTGCGAATAGTGTGTGAGTGCGTGTTCATGTGCATGTGTGCAGGAAGCTAACGGAGGAAAGAGAGGTGGTGTGTGATTCCTCAGGCTCAAGAAGAGGAAGGTTTTTGTTTTTTCAGCTACATAACACTGCTCGATCACTCCTGACCCTATGGAGCCCAGCAGGGATCAAATGTTTATGGTTTCTGTGCACAAGCTTTAAGTATTTTTTTAATCATTTGTAGTCTTATAGAAATTTCAAGCTATCGTTGCATCTAGTAACTAAAGTTATTTGCTTGTCTGGTTTGTTAGGATGGAGCACGTACCTCAAATGGTAAAAGATGTCTAACACATTTCTTTTTTTGTTCCATGCATTGTCAAAATCTGTCATCTTTATTACCCAGAATGCAACTCAATCAATGACAGTTTAGTCGCAGACTGAGGTGTGATGCTGGTATTTGCTAGTGTCGCCTTAAGCTGCTAGACTGGGACGGATGTGCCATCTTTGACACTGACAGTTTGTTTTAAATAAACTAATTTGTGCAGACGAATTATTATTCTAATCATTCACAAATGATACCCGTGTGTTGATCCAAATCAGTATTTAAATGTTTGTTTTTGTTTTAATTCTACATGCAGTGGCACAAAAATGTCAAACCCATGAAATAAGGAATAGTATTTCAGTATTGTTCATTATGCATCAACAACAGTTATTATTATTATTACTTACATTACCAGCAATGACACTGAGTCTCACATTTTACAACGACACTAGTAAGATGTTGGAAAAAGTCAAGCATCTGGATATAGTTTCTGGTCTGTGTGAAACTCGGAAATTTGCAAAGATGACCCCCAAAATATTGAGAGCCCCATATCAAATACATTTATAATAACTTTGGTAAATAATCTGGAAACTGTAAGCAACAGCTTAGTCATCTAACAGCTGACAAATTAAAACATTATGTCACCAAACGTGGCTAAACGTCCTGGTATCGTTCTGAATGTGTTTGTGTTCGAGGGATCAGTACTGGATGTTTGCTTAAAACACGAAGGAAAAAGATTAAAAAGATGTTCTTCCAAATGACCAGAATGCTGTTTTAATGAGGATGTGCTGTGTGTAACAGTACTGTAAGTTCGTCATGCAGCTATCTTAAAGATAAGCTCCTCTCGTCTCATCTGTTAACACACATATCACATTACACACACACACACACGCGTCTTTAAAAGCCTGGGAGGCAGGAAAAAGGACAAGACGTTCAGTCACAAATACAACAAAACATGCAGACTCCAAGATGTTCAGTGTGTAGACGTGGCTGCTGATGAACAAAAGCTCCTGTCAGTCTCAATACCTGCTGACAGAACCACAATAAAGTTTGGATGAAACGGCAACAGCACAGTGTTGTCTCAATGCAATTTAAGATGCTTATGCAGCAACGCGGTCAGCAAAATAAAAAAAATGCTGTTTTTCCACTCAGACCAAAGCTGAAACAACAGTTGGCCACATGATCCACATGTTCAGCACATTTGACAACAAAGGAGTTATTAGTGAAGAGGCTATTTGCCCGACGGCACTAAAAGAAGTAAATACGAAGAATCCAGGAACACATCTTTAACCCATCTGGAGCATTCTCGCATATCTGATGCTCAAATCCATATCCTAGCCTTCGGTCAACCCGCAACAATCAATACTGTTGATTGGCTGGCTGTCCTAAGTGTCGACAGATTGTTGATGCCAATACGAGATGTCGGCGGCCATCTGCTGCTCAATACGCACTGATGGACGTGAGCTGAAACTGATCATAAACAGCCTCCGACTGGTGTCTACTGGGGATGATGGATTGTTTATTTGCTCATTTCGTCAATCACTGTGAGTAATGACAGTCTACACAAACACGTTTCCTATCGGTTTTGAGATTTAAGCGCGTTCTTCTCTGTGGTGACGTCACTTTTGTTGTATTGCTGTCAATCAAATCCGATCAAACTACATTCCTACCAACTTTCTGCTTGATAAACCTCTCAAAAGATACTCCCTTAACTTAGATTGCTGCCTAATTTAATATTTCCAGTAGTTGTGATTGTGTTTACATGACTCTTATCCTGCTTCTGATCATATTCGGGATATGCTGTTTACATGGCGTACCGATAAATTCAGCGATTCATCTCCCCGTCTAGATGATAAATACCAGCATCCTGGTTACTGTGTGGTGTTTGTACAAGAGCCTGTGATGTTTGCAACACAAAGCGGGAATTTAATCTGACATTCCAGTAGTTGCGACCCTAACCTTAAATTAATCTGACTGTAGCTTTTGAAAATGAGGCCATTTGGCTTACAGTGGGCTTAGCACTAATAAATGCCAACATCTCATTGGAAGTTTGGCTTATCCGCCTCGCTGGCAGCAATGGGAAACAAAAGCAAAGGGAAATAATAATTACGTCCTCCTCTTTGACTGGTGTCAGGCTGTCATTGTCTTCACTGAGGACAAGGGAGCAGTGGATGGATGGAGAGACCCAGTACATCAGTCGGGCGTTCTTTCACCAGCCGTCAATTAAACCGCTCAGTTTCTTTATTGCTCCAGAAGTGCTTTTGTTGCTGCATTTGTTTGTGTTTCCTTTACGTCACTTGGCTGAAGATTGTGTGCAGCAGTTAGGAATCAGGATAAGATGTATACTTGCAACAATATCCTCTATTTTTTTCCTGAATGTTCCAGCTAGCATAATAAGGTTGCTTAAAAAATGGCACAAGGGCTTATCTGGGTTCCTGAAATCAGCATGTATACATGTGCAAACATGAAAACGGGATTCTTAAAGGCCATGTAGACGCAGTTGTACAGAAATACTTCAAGAGAGTGAAAGCAGAGGAGCTACAACGACTAAAACAGGATTATTATGACAGATGTCTCATTAGCCAAAACCGTAGAACGGGGGCTCTGACAGTAAAAAGCAATAGGACCGGAGGATGTAATTACAGAAGCACTTTCCTTTTCGTCAAAGTATGCATTGTAAAAATCACAGCAGCATTACTCCCTGTTGGATTTCGCTCACCTTGTGACTTCTCAAGGATATAGCCAAAAAAAACAACATATGCAACAAGGCAATTAAGAGCACAAAAACCAAGAGTGAAGACATGGAAAAGTGCAGCGATGTCTGCCCTCCCCAGACACCAATTTAGTTCTCTCCCTCTCTCTCTCTCTCTCTCTCTCTCTCTCTCACACACACACACATAAACATCCAGCACGCACACACTCATTTCCTGTTCCTGTGTTGATATCAAATCACAACAATAGGTGCATTTCAGCAGCTGCTTTGTGCCTCTAATGATGGGAAAATCAGTACCAGCGATTATCATCACCATTAGGCCAACTATCAAACCTCTAGTGGGAACCAAACAGGGACAATAGATGGA